CGTGCTGTTGAAATTGCCAAGGCCATAGATGACGAAGATGGGTTGATAGGAGCATTGAATGCCTTTCATAGGCACTTTCCTCACAGTAAATCTGAGGATAAACCCGAGTCATTGCCTGCTAGAAGTGGCTTATTTTCCATCAGTAGGTGTTTTGGCTATTCCAATTTCAGTACACATCCCACGGCCTCTCCTCCACATTTGTAAGTTGGAGCAGTTTCTCTCTGTAATGAGGCTGACTTGAGTACCCTATAACAGTAAGAAAAGAAAAGAATACCCACAGATTCTCTTGTAATGACTGCAAAAAGATTCAGTCACGAATTTAAAATTTTTTTGTCACGCATTTAACTTGTTCTGTATTCAGTCAGGTTCAAGATTATTTGGTTTTATTGGTGCTGGTGCCACACTTGGCCAGCTTTTTGGGCCATTGTTTACCATGTATGTTTGCTTATTCAGTCTCTTGGAATTTGATATTTGTTGTGTGTGTGTGTGTGTGTGTGTGTGGTGTTTGTTGTTCTTAGGATGAGCTTTTGTTATATAGTTGTTGTTTTGTCTAGTTTTTAAAGTAATTAACATGAGATATGCTGTGCAGAATGTTTGCTTATGCTTACTGAAAGTGTATACTGCCTAGCTTGTTGCATGTTTGCAGCTGTTTTTAAGTTGATCACCTGTCAGCTTTCCTGCTGAAGGCAATTTATGGGTCCTATTAGTAAAGAAAGAAAGCTAGTCTCATGCCAGGGATATGTTTCTATTTCTAGGCATCTTAAGAAATATTAAATATAATTGAAGCAAATCAGGGAGCATTTTTACAGAAGTAGAAACTATAAAATAATGAAAGCAGAAGTCAAAAGAGTCAGGTCCTTGTGTCAAATGAAGAAGTTGCCAACTGAGTTGAAATCAAACATCAGTAATTATAAAGGAGTGCCCCTCTGGTGTGCTTTCAGTTTGCAGTGCTTCCATATTCCAGACAACAACCTACTGACATGAAAAAACGAAAGAAAATCATTCACATCATTCCTTTTCTCATTAATCAATCGAAGTCACTAATTTGTTATCAGATAACAAGTACCCAAACCCAATCCGTAAATCAATTACTTAGCTTACAACAAGACTTGAACCTGGGCTCTTCGGTTCGGTTTCAATTCGAAAGGAAAGTGAGGAGAAATCTAATAGGAAAGAATTATAAAGCATGTCATTCTTTACCACTCCACTGGAATTAAGATCCTGTGGCCATTTCCAGAGAAAATGAATGCCATTTGATGCTAACACCAAAATGGCATCACCTCCATTTGTGTATAACAGCCTTGATATAATGAGAAGCTACCAAAACATTTTAATGCCGAAATCTGAAACTTAAATATTAGATATTCCCATGCTTATATGCTCCCAGTGCATAGGCAGAGAAAAACTATAAATCAGTCTCAGAATTGAGAGACCTCATATTGAATTATTTATTTTTCTTTTTCCGAAAGATAGAGTACCTTCAGACAGAATTGCAATTATGAAACTTAAATATAGTATAGCCGAGCGGCTATACTATTTATTTTATTTATAACAAAAAAATAAAATTTTTTTTTTTTTTATTTTTTTAAAATGGAACCGCCTAGCCCGCCCTAGGCGGCTGATTTTTCGAAAACTTGAATGGCATTCTTTTTTTTAAGATTTATTTTTTCCTGGCCGGTCTATTGCAATTATGAAACTTTAAATATAGTATAGCCGGGCGGCTATACTATATATTTATTGAAGAACCGCCTAGCCCGCCTAGGCGGCCGATTTTTCAAAAACTTGAATGGAGTTTTTTTTTCAGATTTCTTTTTTCCTGGAGGGTCTAGCATCTCGCAAATACATTTTGTCAATGCTCAGTACCATACGATGGGCAAAAACTCCCAGAGAGATGCAAGATAATCAACTCTGTTTTTAGATCCTCTTCAAACAGGTTTAGATGATTCTTTCCATTTTGTCAATTTATAACTCTATTTTGCAGTCTTGTTTGCTCTTTGGATTCGTCTTCCTTGGGATCACCAAGCGCATTTTTTATCACAGATTGGGCTTGGTCATTAGTGAAATCTGGAAAAGTTGAACAGGCTTTAGACTTTTCATGGCTGAAAGATGGTGATAATGTGAATTCAAATCCAAAGAGCATAATGGAGAGATTTTTGCTGGTTGGCATTTTGTGTGCTCATGTAATGGTGGCTTTGCGGCCTACCATTTTGGATGCACTGAAAATGTTGGAAGGAGATATTGAAGTGCCACCAATTCCAGATAGGCCAATGCCTCTTGGTCACCCTTCAGCTTATGGCAATGGCAACGGTAATACTTTCAGCATATCACCAGCTTTGAGCGGGCCAAAATTGCATAGTGGAGACATGCTCAGGTAATCAAGAAAACTTTTAATTTTATAGTTTCTACATCGCCTTGAAGAAAGCAAAGAGTGAAGATTAATGTTCATGGAAGACCCTCCGTGAATTGACTCAAGGTATGTAGTTGAGAATGCTGTAAATAGTACACATAGGTTTAGTTGGAATTCTGATTGATATTGAATAGTAATGTAAATACCTATAAGCTTTATAACTGTTGGAAATAGCAAACCGAAAAACGGGTTTGCCGTTGCTTACGAGTTTTTTTTATTTATCAATTAAGTTTTTTCTCATGTATATCATTTGTAACAGTTTTTGTATAATTGAGTTTCAAGAAATATATTCTTGTAGAAACTTTTTCTTCCATTCATCAGAGTTCTTCCTTTCAGAGACAAGTCTTTTTGCTCTCTTTGAGAAACCCTTTGAAAATTGCTTAGCAAAGCAACGAAGTGGTATCAAATCTTTGGTCCTGCTAGTAGCTCTGTCCATGTTTTTGTCATACCTCTAGTGCTGAAGAATGTAAAAAAATCCCATATATATTGAGCAACTCCACTACTAATAATAATACAAGGCATTTTGTGATAAAACATCCTGCTGGTCCGTCTCGCGTCAGCAAGGTCAGCACCAGACCCGGATCACATGTGCTTCCCAAGACGGAGCGTATATGAATGGATGAAAACAAAACGTTTCAGTAACATTTTCTATAACGTTGTAGTTTGTGACGTTTAACAGTAGTCTCTTACCTTTTGAAAATTGACAAAAACAACCTTAAAGTGATAAATTTTTTAACCAATAGCTTCTTTATTCACGAAACTATCAAATTAACTGCAATTTTTTGTGAGCCGCTAGGTGGCTAATTTTTTGCTTATATGAATGTCAAATTGATGGCATGTTGGTTATTTTTCATCCCTCTATATTGACAAGGTTAAGGGTCCGTTTGATAATCATTTTAGGGTCCTTTTTTTATAATTATTTTAGGGTCCGGTTGATAACCATTTCAATTTTACTTTTGTGGAAAGGATATAATGAGGAGTTTTGAGTTTTCATTTTTTGTGCTAGAGTATAGAGAAAAATGAAAGTGAGAATGAGAGTGAGGAGGACGATAGGGGAATATGAGAGCGATGAGTAACAAAAGTGAAAACAAAAACTTGAAAGTAAAAACAATTTCAAACAGGTTTCAGTTTTTAGTTTTTTTTTTCATTTTTGTTACTCATCCAACCCATCCTCCCCTCTCAATCTCATCTCCACTCTAATTCTCACTTCCATTCTCCCTCTTTTTCCCCTATACTCTAGCACAAAAAATGAAAATAACATATTTAAAACGTATAGCCGCCCGGCAATACCCTGTAAATAATATATTTAATTAGTACAGCCGGGCGGCTATAACCTAAATAATATATTTATATGAGAAAATGGTAGATTCTTATATGAGTAATAAGTAAAAAACCAAAATGGGACAATAGAGACTCGGGTCATGACCTAATAGTAATGGATAATGCTTTAAACTACTCTTATCGATAAAGGAAAATTCAGGGGAATTTTATTTTCCAACCAAAAAAAAAGAGTACAGCCGCGCGGCTATACTCCCCCTAGCCCGCAGCCGAATTTTCCGGAACTTGAATGGCGTGATTTTTTTTAGATTTCTTTTTTCCTGGCGGGTCTGGTATCTCTGCAAATACTCAAAAATGGAGATCATCCCTCCTGTTGGTGATATGAGATATGAATCATTCTTGGACAAATCAAAGCAGGACATAGAGTCTTCAGGGTTGGTGCTGGGAAGGTCATTGTTCATCAGCTCTAAGCCACTCCTTGGTTTCCATAAATTAGGGTGAACCTTGGGAGTTGCCTGCATTCAATCAATATCATCATAATCAAATGACCAACTGTCGCTTCGGTTTCAATTCGAAAGGAAAGTGAGGAGAAATCTAATAGGAAAGAATTATAAAGCATGTCATTCTTTACCACTCCACTGGAATTAAAGATCCTGTGGCCATTTCCGGAGAAAATGAATGCCATTTGATGCTAACACCAAAATGGCATCACCTCAATTTGTGTAGAACAGCCTTGATATAATGAGAAGCTACCAAAACATTTTAATGCCGAAATCTAAAACTTAAATATTAGCTATTCCCATGCTTATATGCTCCCAGAGCATAGGCAGAGAAAAACTATAAATCAGTCTCAGAATTGAGAGACCTCATATTGAATTATTTATTTTTCTTTTTCTGAAAGATAGAGCACCTTCAGACAGAATTGCAATTATGAAACTTAAATATAGTATAGCCGAGCGGCTATACTATTTATTTTATTTAAAAAAAAAAAATAATTTATTTTTTTATAAACCGCCTAGCCCGCCAGCTGATTTTTCGAAAACTTGAATGGCATTCTTTTTTTTAAGATTTATTTTTTCCTGGCCGGTCTATTTCAATTATGAAACTTTAAATATAGTATAGCCGGTCGGCTATACTATTTATTTATTAAAGAACCGCCTAGCCCGCCTAGGCGGCCGATTTTTCAAAAACTTGAATGGAGTTTTTTTTTCAGATTTCTTTTTTCCTGGAGGGTCTAGCATCTCTGCAAGTACATTTTGTCAATTCTCAGTACCATAAGATGGGCAAAAAGAGTAAATCAAAAACTCCCGCAGAGATGCAAGATAATATAGCTGTTGGTATCGGTGGCAGCTTCTTAGGTCCTCTTCAAACAGGTTTAGAAGATTCTTTCCATGCATATATTTTGCAGTATTGTTTACTATGTAGTGTGAGTTTCCTTGTGAAAATGATTAAGCTTTCTTTGGAATAAACTTCGGGTAGTGTTCACTGGTTTGATTACATTTTGCAGATCCAGAGGCTATCGAAACAGCAAGGGGAAGGCAACTGCATTTGTAAGTACTTACGTATCAATTTTTAAGTGCTTATGCTTTCAAATTTTCTTTATGTTTATTTTTTAAAGTAATCCGTATTCTGTGTGTTGGTTGGAGTTGTGGTGTTTAACATAGCCCATATTCAGGGACTATCTTAGATGCATTCTGTGTGTAAATATTTGGTTCTAGTCTTGGTTGTTGGGTTAAAGGATTATATGCATATTTTTATCAGAGGATGGATGATTCTGGGTGGGGGTTGCCTGTTCTGCAGCGAGGGCATTGTCGAAGTCGGTTCCAGGTTTTGGCTCTATAAGGTTTCCCATTCGCACATGGCGGAACTGGTATATGTACGGTAGTGGTTGTTGCAAAGTGTAACCGAGCGACTATACTCTTTAAATAACCAATCAGCTATACGTTTATATATATATATATATATATATATATCTGTCTCTCTCTCTGTTACCTTTTCTTGATAGACATTAGGATTTCTTTGGTGAAACCATGTTGCTGTGGTTTTTGTATACGGGGCATGGATTGTGATGTAGATATGAGCTGTGATATCTTTTCAGATTTACATTAATTTCAGGATCAACGTGATTATCTTATTTCAACTCCCATGCCAGATGGAAATCTTTGCTACAATGATCTGTTAGATGCAACTTGCTGGTATTATTATCTCTTTACTGACATCTTGCCTTGATGTTAACCCTTGCAAAATTTGGTGTCAATGTTTGCACTTGACAGCTTTTCCAGAAGTCATATCCAAATGAAGAATTCTTTTCCGAGACACCCTCACCTCAGAATTTGGAGGATGACGTTCCGATTAATCTAGAGGACTAATAGTATAAGGCCATTACCCGAGTCTCTATTGTCCCCCTTTGATATTCAATAATACATCCGTGTTCTGTACACGTCTTAAAGACTTGGTAAAGTTCACTTTTTTTTAAAAGGCAAACATGCAATACGCGTATTATACATGTACGTACATATTTTTCATGTTTAATACATGTATATTTTTTATAAAATTTTCAATAATACACACAGCTTCACGTATTATACATATACTTCTCACATATTATTGAATAAACATAATATATATTAAACAATTTACATTAATATATATTTTTTTTAAAATTAAATAATATAGTCGTGGGTCTATACCTTCTAAATACATATTTAAAGAGTATCGTTGTGTGGCTATACTATGGTTTTTGACATGTGGGCGCCTAACCATTAGACAGGTCCTCTTTTTTCATATTTTTTACTTTATTAATAGTATTGCCACGCGGCTATATATGGTTTTATAATTTTTTTTTAAAACAGTGCAGTAAATCATATCACGGTTTTTAAATTTTTGTAAAGAAATAGTATAGCCGTTCGGCTATACTCGGCATTGCTAATTTTTAAAAAATAAGTAGTATAGCCGAACGGCGATACTCGGTTTTTATTTTTTTTAAATCGTACAGCCGCCCGGCTATAATTTAAGAAAGTATAGCGCGGCTCGGCTTTTTTTTTTTTTTTTTTTTTTTTTTTCGGTCGGTGGGTTTTTTTTTTTTTTTTACTTTGTAAATCATATCAAATCCTAATTAATAAATATTTTCTTGATATAAACCTAATGATGAGACATTTATTAAATGATTGCTTCATGACAAAACTGAGCATAAACGAAAATCTATATACTCCGAACCATTTAAACTAATTCATGCAAACCTACCGTCATTCACAACTAAAGAAGTCGTGGGAGCTATGCTATGTTGTGTAATCACCACCATTACAAAAGCAGCAATATGCAGGAAAGCTTTACATTGCTCCTAATAAAACATACTACCCTCAAAGGAAATACTTGTGCAATCTTTGTTGAACAAGCATAAAACAGAAAACTATAGCTTAACCATTTGTGTTTTACAGGGCAGCACAAAACTGCAAGATTCATGTGCTAACTCCTAATTTACCTTCAGTCGTTTACCAAACTTAAGCCAAATACTTAAGCACATGATTTGTTTTGTACAAGCTAAGTAACAATTTATAGCTTGTGTATATACTTCCGACTAAAATAAGTACAGGCCCCGCCCATTCTCTTTATACCTTTGTTTTGTGTGGTTTTGTAAAATTTATTAATTTTCATTACAGAAACCCATCATCAGAACTTACATTGCATACATTCAAAATCAACGTAAAGGGACATTGTTGCTACTTACTTTGGATGGTGGCTATGGCGGCTGCTGGTAGCGATGACGATGGCTGTTGTCCTAGGGCTAGGAACCTAAAACGATGAAATAGAGAGGGAAAGCAAGAAGGAGCGGTTATGAGCTAGAGTTATTGACAAATTTTTTAAACAGAGTTTGGAGCAGATTTCTAGTTTTCTGATGATACAGAGTCCCACATTGGTCAAACAAGTGACCATACAAAGGTTTATAAGGACTTACATATCACTTCACATTGCCGAGCCTAGTAGCATGGGCTTGTAACTAAGCAGGGCATTAAAGTAATTGGTTGCTATGGAAACCTTCCTAGGTGAGGCATAGTGGTCTTGGGCTGTTCACCTTGGCATTGGTGGGTGAAGTCGCACAAAGCACACCCCTTACCCTCGGGGGTTAGTAGGGTCTCCCAACCACAAAGGTTGGGTAGCAACCAAACCAGAAATATATGAGAATTTGATTGGGGGTTACTTCCCTACAGACCAAGATTCCGCTTGCCTCAGTGTGTTACCCGGGAATAGGACCTCATCACACAATCACTTTTTGCAGAGGCGTTGCGGAGCGGAGAAGACAATGAAACCTAACTTCATTTCTCTCAAAACGATCCCTTATGGTACAGTTGTCGTGTTTAAAGAGTCATGCCAAACGCCAGCGTTTCATCTTGTTAATTTTAAGAACAACATAACATTCAAACGATCCCTAAATTGATTCAGCCATCCAACCGCCCACCCATTTCTAACGGGAGCCTCTCTTTCAATCTATTTAAACTTGAGTTCATATCCAATCTAAATCAATTTAGGGCCTAAAGAGAGGCTTGAATTGTTTCAATTTATGAATCAATGTCCTCACGATATTATTAACATACTAATATGTATTTATTTGTAATAATTGAATGTTCAAAATGTTTATGCCTCGTTTTACAAGATATAAACTACTTTGTTTCAACCCCTCGTTTTTGAAAATATTGATATGAGTGCTATTTTTTTTTTGGGGGGTAAGGAATTGAGGAAGAAGATATGTGACTCAAAGGACATATCATATTTTGTTGAATAATTAACGGCCCACCATCCCTTCACCCCAAACCTCTCTTGCCTGGTTTTTTTTTTTGGTTTTCTCTTTATTCAACGATAGTGTAAACTACAACAAAAAGAATTGGGTCAATTACAAACAATACCAAAGTGCCATAGCAATTTAAACCGGAAATAGTTGTTTTGCATGTTAAAATTATTTTTCCCTGGGTTTGACCCATTGGCAAGCCTCGCATTCTTTATCAAAACTAAACTGGGTCCACGGGTGGGTTCCCAGCGGCCTAAATAGTTTATTTATTGCACATGATTTGGATTGGCACAATTGCAATTGCAGCTTTGAAACGTGGTCAAATAACACATCAGTTTCGTAGCATCGCCGTTCAGCCACCACCTGTCTTCTGAGTTCTCGTTTTGTTTTGGGCCACCACCATTTACTCGACTGCGGACCACTGGTCCAAAAGCTCAATTCCTTCTTGTATAGTTCGGGCATGGTTTTTCAACCAAACTCTTCCAATTTATTATTATTATTTTCTTAAGTGTCTGTAGTTGAATTCCTTTGATAGCAAATAAGAACAAAATAAAAAATCAATCAATTTGTGAGAAAAAAATTTATATCTTTGACCTTAAATGAATTTATTACGGGGTCTTTAATCTCCTATTTTCAATAATATTTGTGCACATGTTTATGTTATATTATGGTTTATAAAGTTTTTTTCAATACAGGTAATAGTCTTAAATTATTCTAAATTAATCTAAATTACGAGGAATATAACTCGACTTTGAGTGCAAGGCGAGGAGCTCATTGTGCTGCACAACCAGCCTATAAAGACATTTTTTTCAAAACAAAGAAAAGGACACCTCTCCATTTTCCTAATAAGTGGAGGGGGTTTGGCTATTAAATTTCTACTAATGGGGCTTACAAGCAATATGAAAATGCAAAAATCAGCATCACACGTGGTGATCAACAGACATGCCGCATTAACATACGGAAACCCAGATTCTAAAAGCGTAAGAATCTTACATGCCAAATACCAACTCTCTCTACCAGTATTTAAGTATTTAAAAAAGTATAAATTAAATTCTAACCCGCTTACTTATCAGTTTTGGTAATGAATGAGATTGATAGGGCAGGTGAGAGTGCCGGAGAAAGCGAGTATGATGCTAATATGGCTACTCGCGAGACTTAGTATTAGACCGTATTAAAGAGATTGCTTGTCTACGGCCCACTTGGAAAACAAGGGAAAGAGACCTCTCAATTGAGTCATTGATGCCGTGGCCAACGCCAAAGCACGTGTAAACTTCACCGCCAAGTGTCTTTAACTTTTTCATAAATTTTTTTTTCTGATGAATTTTAGGTTTTGAAACTTACTTTTACTCGAGAATGAAATTGGGTTTTTCGAATGCTTGAGGGTGTAGCGTTCGCGGTGCAAAGAGGATTTTTTAATTTCCGTCTCAAACGTGATTCTCTCTAAATCATTTCAGCTCTTTGAAGCATAATGTTGGACATGCATTATATAGTTGAGTTGAGTATAAAGGATGCAAGATTGTTTTTAAAAGTTTATAAAGAGTTTGGCTATTCTTCTATTATCAATTGATTTTGAGGTGGAATCTCAACTTCCGCCAATTTGTACTTGGGTGGCTGTGTGAGGAACCAACCCATTCACCTCAGATGCATCACATACAAACAAAAAAGTATCAAAATTTCTTATATGAGATAACAAAACTAAGCAATGAAGAAAACAGCCAAACTATAAAGCATTAAGAAATGTAATTATTCCCTCTATATTTTACGCTATATATATTATAAGTTTTATAATTTAACAATCTCATGACTTTCACTTTATATATTCCTAAAAAGAATTACTTGGAATCGAAGTTTTGGGAATCTTGTCCCTTCTAAGTTTGAGCTCAAATTTAATTGATTAATCAAGCAATGGCTATGCATTCATGTGCTATGCACGTCTATGAAAGAAAAATGCCGGTTGGTTCAAGCATGCATTTACAAGAAAAGAAAAGGGATCAATTTAGGTTTAAGGAACGACTTTTCGCCTTTTTTTTAATGTAAAAAAAATTATGGGAAGATTGGTTACTCTCATCATCAGTATCATGGCAAGTCTTATTTCCATTAGATTTTACTTGATTAATTATTATTATAAAAATAACCACAATATTCCAACTATTCACGATTGACCACAGAACTTCCTTTTAGTATTTTAATTCTTATATAATATATATGCATGAAAAGAATATGGAGCAAAAGCAAGCAATTATTAGTTATCAACTCTATCTTATCATGGCGTTTGTAAAATGTGGTAGCATATGATATGCACCACATTGATCTCCCATGTGTGTGACAGGTAGCCATTTTCTTTAGTATCATTGCGTTTGAGGGTGCCATTTATTAATTACTTTATCAAAGACGTGCCTAATAATGTGCTTTGATGTGCAATTCCTTTAATACCAATTATTGTTTTAGCTGAGAATGTTTTGTAGCTTAAATGGTTAAGAAACGTTTTTATTTTTGTACTCTTGAGATGTTGTGTTCGATTGTCTTAACCCTAGCTCATTGCTTGGCAAGGGTTACTCTACATATTGGAGAGAATAAAACGTGGTT